TAAAAAATTTTGCTAGTTCTTAGAGTAAGATTGGGATAGAAACATTTAACATATTTTATACGCGGTGTGCAGAAAATTGAAAAAACTTTAAATGGTACAAGAGTAAAGTGCATTTATTTGAGAAGATAAGGAAATAAGTTACTAGGAAAAGTTGTTCAAAAGTAAAAGGTAGTCTCTAATACCAATTTTCGAAAAAATCGGCCTACTTTTATTTATTTGTGATCATTAAATTTATTTTAATATCAATTAACTAATTCCAAATCAACAACTTACTCAAACACACTACCACCCTGTTAGGCACATGCCTTTAAACGAACAACTAATTCATCAAAACTTTTTCGAACCTCATGTAAAGATATTGAAGCAACGGCATCTCTAATCTCATCCTTTAATTGATCAGTAGTGGCATCTATTTGAAGTGTGCGATAAACAATTTGTTTCAATCAGCCCCATAGGAAAAAATCCATTAATTTAAATCTGGACTCCTAGTCTAACCATCGTCTAACCGTTGCCGAATAATGTGCTGGGCATCCATCTTGTTGAAAATAAAATGAACGGCTGTATTCTAATGGAAGATTGTCTAATTCACTGTCGAGGAAGTTTCTTAACATAGCTAAATAGCTATTCGCACTACAAGTAGTGTCAAAGAAGTATGGCCCTATTCTAAATATGGCACTACTCCAATATCGTGCATGTTGCGAAGCCACAACACCATTGGTCGAAAAAGTTGATCCATCAGAAAACATTATTTTCTTATGAAGTACTCTTTCCATACTGCCAATCCACAGACAAAAATCCAAACGTTTTGCTCCATCGCCGATTTCCAAAACATGATTATAAACTGGCTTGTATGGATGTATCTTGTTGTGTTTTAATATCTTGTGAATTTGCGACTTTTTAACAAATTGGAGATTTTCAGCTCTTCTTCTTAATGATAATTTCGGGTGTACCTCTACTGAATGTAATACCAACAAAGTGCTTGCATCATTTTCATCGTACCTCTTCTTTTCTCTAGGTATTCGCAACAATGACCCAGTGCTTAAAAACTTGAAAATTTATTTACGGCAAGTAGTCTCAGAAACGTACACATTGAGGAATTTTTCATTAAATTCCTGAATAATTCGACGATAACATTTTTCGCCTTTCCCATAACATTGCACCAAGTAAATTTTTTGTTGTAAAGTAAGCATTTTAAGCTGACAATACTACGGCTAATAAAGTGTAAAAGCGTCAATAAAGCTTGTAAGTATCAACGCCTACTAGTACAAAAATGATCACAAATAAATAAAAGTAGGCCGAATTTTTCGAAAATTGGTATTAGAGACTACCTTTTCCTTTTGAACAACTTTTCCTAATAACTTATTTCCATATCTTTTCAAATAAATGCACTTTACTTTTGTACCATTTAAAGTTTTTTCAATTTTCTGAACACCGCGTATGAAATGAAGGGGTCGGGAGAAAAAAGTGCCAAGCATCATTTTGGCCTAACCGAATTTAGCAGTGCTGTCTATGAGTAAATTGAACAAATTACAAGCAGCACTGTTTAGATTTCAATGATTGCCGTAAGATTGCTCTGTATTTGCATTGCATTTTATTACCTCAACTGGTTGTTTGCAAAGTTTTGGGGAAGACAGTGTCAAGCTCCTCATGAGAATGGAGGGAAACAGGAAATGTGTTAGAAATCTTAAAGATTATTATGAAAACCTAGAAGACTTGTATGAAGAATTTGATGACAGTGACAGCGATCCCAATTATTTAGCAACAAACCCTCCCTACACCAAAACTGTCATGTGGACCTGCATTTTACTGCAGGAAACTGTGGACCTATAACGTAGGTATCCATAACTGCACTTCTGGACAAGGTTTTATGTTCATGTGGGATGAATCAGTTGGAAAAAGGGGTAGTGATGAAATAGGAAGCTGTATTATAAAGTACTTATTAGTAGCAAATGTCCACGCAAAGAAGTTGGTAATATTTACCGACAACTGCGGAGGACAAAATAAAAATTGGAACATAATGTCGCTTTGGTCACACCTTGTAGCTAGTAAACGTTTTGAAACAATAGAACATTACTTCCTGATAACTGGGCATACTTATCTTTCATCAGACCGTGACTTTTCAAAAATAGAAAAGTATCATATCAAGCACTGCCAAAATGTGTACAGTCCTGGGCAATGGAGAGAGATAGTAGCAAAGTGTGGAACAAAACACTGAACTTCATCGTAACATGCATGATGAGTGAGGATTTCCTCGATTTGTCTAGGGTGCAAGAGACCTACTTTAACACAAAAAGCAAGTTTTGTACAGATGGTGTTACTCCTCCACGATTTTCCAAAGCTATTTGCTTTAAATTTGACAGCGAAGAACCTTTTCAAATGAAACTCAAACACTTGATGAATGAAGAGTTTTTAGTGTTGAACCTAAAGAAACGTGGAAGGAGTTCTATTCCAGCACTACATTTAAAAAGAAATGCGCCCAACAAAATCAATAAGAAAAAATTAGATGATGTCAAATCCTTGATGCAATACATTCCTCCCATCTACCATGGATATTACAATGGCCTACAGTCTTCCGCTGAAGTAGACGACCAAAAGGAAGATGTTGTGGTAATATAGGCCTATTTGAAAAGTACCTTTTTGGTTAAGAATATTTTTTGTCGATGACAGTGTGTGTTTTAATAAAAGTACAAACAAACCTAATGTCTTTTATTTTTGGGGAAAAAATGCCAAGCAACATTATTCAGTGCATATTTTTCTATACAACCATTTTTATCTTATAATAGCGTTTTTTTTACCTACATCTTCACTTTTAACGGTATATAGATACATAACCTTTGTATTAAAAAACTTTGGTTTGTTGTCTGCACTAAAATGTTATTTATGGATTTAGCTAAACTTTCAACTTGCTATATCTCAAAACACCAAACATGATGCTTGGCACTTTTTTCTCCCGACCCCTTCAAATATGTTAAATGTTTCTATCCTAATCTTACCCTAAGAACTAGCAAAATTTTTTATCAAGATTAACTTTTTTCGATAAAATTAAAAATAAAAAAGTTTCCACCTTTTCCGTGGACATACTGTATAATGTTCTAAGTATTTAATCTGAAGGTTTATTTTAATTAGAAGCACCCATTAAAGATATTTAATATTTATTATCATGATAAAAAATTAATGGAATACAAGTGCTAAAACATAAAATTATTTGAGATCAAATCGCATCTCGCCGATGTAATTACATTTATAGACAGATAAAGAAATACAACTTCATTACATTCATATATTTAATGTTAAAAATTGATTATGTGAAAGCAAAAATCATCAGGATTCATAATATTTGAGTAAACAATTTTGTGATCAATCATTTTAAAGCTCAACTAGTTTCCGAATTTAGTTTATAATTAATTGATTAATAAATGTTCTCCAAAAAATTCTTTTAAAACTTTATTAATCCCCAATATGAAGCTAATCTAATCAGTAATAATTAGATCACATTATACACTTCAACGGTTTCTCGTTTGAAGTGTTTACGTGCGTTCAGATTTTATCTAAAACCTGTAAATATTTCTCATATCCGAATATGACAATTAATCACGTTATCATCTAATTTATTATGTTGACATCAAACGTTATGATTGTGAAATAAATTGTTGGTTGTATTAAAAATAAATTTAATAAAAAGATTATTACCTTTTTATCTGTAAGTCTCGATGCTATAGACACTATGTCTTTAAAAATAATCATTTTTTTAAATTTTATCTTACCTCTTTTAAATCGGCTTCGTCTAATGCAGCATTTCCTAAAATTTTTAATTTTTTTGCTTGACGTTTTAATTCTTCGTTTGTAAATTCCTCTTCGTTAAGATCTTGAAATTTCTCTTCCCATATTTGTTTTCTTTCAGCGGCGATTTTCATGGTTTTTTCCACCTAAAATTTAAAAAAATTAAATTTGTTTAAATAAAATTTGATGAGATCTTACTAAAGTTGTTTGTAATTCTGTATTTGCTATATCGGTGGCATAGTTCCATTCGGCGTTTTGTAATTCGTTGCACATTTGCACCGCTTTAGTTTGATATTCATTTGTTAAATAATCCCCAAATTCTGATTCTGTAAGTCTTGAGGAAACGACACTTGCAGATTGAGACGATTTAAGGAATAATCCAAGGATTAATACGAGCTTAAAAAAAAAACATTAATTTACGATTATTTTTGGATTATTTATTACTCACAGAATAAATTCTCTTCATCCTAAAAAAATTGTTTTCACTCAAGCACTAAAATATCTTTTGATCACCATTAACTTGGAACTCACTCAAATTTCACCCTTTATATACCTTCAAAATCTTTAATCTTCTCGCCTTATCAATAAAAGCAAATAATAGATTAGGATTTTTTTGCACTTTTTAATGGATTGAACTTGTAAACAAAATTTTGATGTACTGCTTATAGAAGTCGGTTATGAAATGACTTTGTTTCGTGATATGTTGCGAATTTTAATGAACAACAACGGCGACACACATCTAATCAAGGTTCTCCTCAATTATGTAAAATGTGCGCTCACGAAAATTATGCTTCTAACTGCCGTTGAAAATGGTTGTAAGAAACTTTCTCTTTTCCACGGCGATTAGAATGAAACGAGAAAAATTAGAATGCAAATCGAATTAAAATAAATAGAGAGGTTTAAAAAAATTATTTTTATTTGGAGTATTTTCCTTTTTTGTTAAGATTTAATTTTCGTCCTTTTTTCTTGTAATTTTGATTCTCTTTCATCAAAAATTCTTTGAGCGGTTGGAAGTATTCCAAAAGCGGTTTCGCTGATATTTTTGATTCGCCAGTTAATATTTTTAAAATATAATTAGCGTCTTTACTTGAACCAAGTTCTAAAGCTGATCTAAAAATAAATGTAATTGTTAATAATAAATACAGTTTTCTTAGTATACATGAGAAATGTTGATAAGACATTCCCATTTATTTACAACTAAACTATTGAATTTATAGATAACCAAGTACCTACTTCAAAATATTTTCAAGGATGATTATTGAGTGTTTAAAACATTTAAGTGCTAAACATGATTTTTGTTAAAGAAAATAATTGCCATTTTTTGTTGATATCTTATCGCAACATTTAACTTAATTATGCACATAGTTTCTAATACATATATGTTTCATGCTTTATTAAGAGATATTTGCCATAATACATCATGCGTTTCTATAATTAGAACGATATAATAAACCATCAGCAAGCATTCCTAGTTTTAATTACTATTGATGTTATGATGAAGTGCATCATTAAGTAGATTTTGATAGATAATGCTATATATTTAATGTTAAAGGTTGCAAAAACAAGTCTAAAATAGTAAAGCAAGACTATAGACTTTATAGCAAAATTATAATGATATTGTTAAGACTCCACTCTTTATGAAAAAATCTACAAAAACTCTGGAAAGAGTTAATTACACAATCGGCAATTACAAAATACTTGGAATTGTACTGCATAAATGTCCCACTGCAAGCAAAAGTTTGGAATTATCTATTTAAAGCCCAAACTTCAAGAAATGTAAAGAATTTTAGACTACAAGAAGGTGATCAAAATGACTTCGTTGTTATACCAATGCTTCGAAACTCTGAGATTACAACAAAAAGAACTTTCAAACTTTAGAAATTAAGTTGTTGGAATTCCAAATTACTAGAAAAAGTCTGACATTATACTGATAGGATTTTAGACTACAAGAAGAAGCATAAACTTAGAAAAAAAGTTTGCAATGACACTGCCATGATTTCAGCTTTAACAATATGTAAGAAATTACGTTAGCCAATTCCTTCAGGCTATAATAAAATGTTAGGAACTAAGGTTCTAAATTAAGTTGGTCGTATTCCAAATTACAAGAAAAAGGAGGCAATTACACCAACAGCATTTTAGACTACAAGAAGGTGATCAAAATTACTTTGGTGTTATACTAAGGCTTCAGACTTTATCAAAATTGTTTTGGGTAAAAGCTATACTGCAAGCGAAAATTGCAAACTAATTCCAAACTTCAGAAATTAAGTTGTTGGAATTCCAAATTACTATAAAAAGTCTGATGTTACACTGATAGGATTTTAGACTACAAGAAGAAGTCTAAAATTACGGAGACTAAATACTAGATTATATGAAAAAATGTAGAATGACAACATTGTGACTCCAAACTTATAAAAAAAGTTTGCAATAACACTGCCATGATTTCAGCTTTAACAATATGTAAGAAATTACGTTAGCCAATTCCTTCAGTTATAATAAAATGTTAAGAACTAAGGTTCTAAATTAAGTTGGTCGAATTCCAAATTACAAGAAAAAGGAGGCATTTACACCAACAGCATTTTAGACTACAAGAAGGTGATCAAGATTACTTTGGTGTTATACTAAGGCTTCAGACTTTATCAAAATTGTTTTGGGTAAAAGGCTTACTGCAAGCGAAAATTGCAAACTAAGTCCAAAGTTCAGAAATTAAGTTGTTGGAATTCCAAACTACTATAAAAAGTCTGATGTTACACTGATAGGATTTTAGACTACAAGAAGAAGTCTAAAATTACGGAGACTAAATACTAGATTATATGAAAAAATGTAGAATGACACCATTGTGACTCCAAACTTAGAAAAAAAGTTTGCAATGACACTGCCATGATTTTGAGCTTTAACAAGATGTGAGAAATTACGTTAGCCAATTCCTTCAGGCTATAATAAAATGTTAGGAACTAAGGTTCTAAATTAAATTGGTCGAATTCTAAATTACAAGAAAAAGGAGGCAATTACACCAACAGCATATTAGACTACGTGGAGGTGATCAAAATTACTTTGTTCTTATACTAAGGCTTCAGACTTTATCAAAATTGTACTGGGTAAAAGCCATATTGCAAGCGAAAATTGCAAACTAATTCCAAGCTTCGGAAATTAAGTTGTTGGAATTCCAAACTACTATAAAAAGTCTGATGTTATACTGATAGGATTTTAGACTACAAGAAGAAGTCTAAAATTACGGAGACTAAATACTAGATTATATGAAAAAATGTAGAATGACAACATTGTGACTCCAAACTTATAAAAAAAGTTTGCAATAACACTGCCATGATTTCAGCTTTAACAATATGTAAGAAATTACGTTAGCCAATTCCTTCAGTTATAATAAAATGTTAAGAACTAAGGTTCTAAATTAACTTGGTCGAATTCCAACTTACAAGTAAAAGGAGGCAATTACACCAACAGCATTTTAGACTAGAAGAAAGTGATCAAAATTACTTTGGTGCTATACTAAGGCTTCAGACATTATCAAAATTGTACTGGGTAAAAGCCATACTGCAAGCGAAAATTGCAAAATAATTCCAAATTTCAGAAATTAAGTTGTTGGAATTCCAAACTACTATAAAAAGTCTGATGTTATACTGATAGGATTTTAGACTACAAGAAGAAGTCTAAAATTACGGAGACTAAATACTAGATTATATGAAAAACCGTAGAATGACACCATTGTGACTCCAAACTTAGAAAAAAAGTTTGCAATAACACTGCCATGATTTCAGCTTTAACAATATGTGGGAAATTACGTTAGCCAATTCCTTCAGGCTATAATAAAATGTTAGGAACTAAGGTTCTAAATTAAGTTGGTCGTATTCCAAATTACAAGAAAAAGGAGGCAATTACACCAACAGCATTTTAGACTACAAGAAGGTGATCAAAATTACTTTGGTGTTATACTAAGGCTTTAGACTTTATGAAAATTGTACTAGATAAAAGCTATACTGCAAGCGAAAATTCCAAACTAATTCCAAACTTCAGAAATTAAGTTGTTGGAATTCCAAACTACTACAAAAAGTGTGATGTTATACTGATAGGATTTTAGACTACAAGAAGAAGCCTAATCTTAGGGAGACTAAATACTAGATTATATGAAAAAATGTAGAATGACCCCATTGTCATTAAAAAAAAAACTTAGAAAAAAGGTTGCAATAACACTGCCATGATTTCAGCTTTAACAATATGTGGGAAATTACGTTAGCCAATTCCTTCAGGCTATAATAAAATGTTAGGAGCTAAGGTTCTAAATTAAGTTGGTCGAATTCTAAATTACAAGAAAAAGGAGGCATTTATACCAACAGCATTTTAGACTACAAGAAGGTGATCAAAATTACTTTGGTGTTATACTAAGGCTTCAGACTTTATCAAAATTGTTTTGGGTAAAAGGCTTACTGCAAGCGAAAATTGCAAACTAATTCCAAACTTCAGAAATTAAGTTGTTGGAGTTCCAAATTACTATAAAAAGTCTGATGTTATACTGATAGGATTTTAGACTACAAGAAGAAGTCTAAAATTACGAAGACTAAATACTAGATTATATGAAAAAATGTAGAATGACACCATTGTGACTCCAAACTTAGAAAAAATGTTTGCAATAACACTGCCATGATTTCAGCTTTAACAATATGTGGGAAATTACGTTAGCCAATTCCTTCAGGCTATAATAAAATGTTAGGAACTAAGATTCTAAATTAAGTTGGTTGAATTCCAAACTATAAGAAAAAGGTGGCAATTACACCAACAGCATTTTAGACTACAAGAAGGTGGTCAAAATTACTTTGGTGATATACTAAGGCTTCAGACTTTATCAAAATTGTTTTAGGTAAAAGCCATACTGCAAGCGAAAATTGCAAACTAATTCCAAACTTCAGAAATTAAGTTGCTGAAATTTAAAACTACTACAAAAAGTGTGATGTTATACTGATAGGATTTTAGACTACAAGAAGAAGCCTAATATTAGGGAGACTAGATACTAGACTATATGAAAAAATGTAGAATGACACCATTGTGACTCCAAGCTTAGAAAAAAAGTTTGCAATAACACTGCCATGATTTCAGCCTTAACAATATGTGGGAAATTACGTTAGCCAATTTCTTCAGGCTATAATAAAATGTTAGGAACTAAGGTTCTAAATTAAGTTGGTCGAATTCCAAATTACAAGAAAAAGGAGGCAATTACTTTGGTGTTATACTAAGGCTTCAAACTTTATCAAAATTGTTTTGGGTAAACGCCATACTGCAAGCGAAAATTGCAAACTAATTCCAAACTTCAGAAATTAAGTTGCTGAAATTCAAAACTTCTATAAAAAGTCTGATGTTATACTGATAGGATTTTAGACTACAAGAAGAAGTCTAAAATTACGGAGACTAAATACTAGATTATATGAAAAAATGTAGAATGACACCATTGTGACACCAAACTTAGAAAAAAAGTTTGCAATGACACTGCCATGATTTCAGCTTTAACAATATGTCGGAAATTACGTTAGCCAATTTCTTCAGGCTATAATAAAATGTTAGGAACTAAGGTTCTAAATTAAATTGGTCGAATTCCAAATTACAAGAAAAAGGAGGCAATTACACCAACAGCATGTAGACTACAAGAAGGTGATCAAAATTACTTTGGCGTTATACTAAGGCTTCAAACTTTATCAAAATTGTACTGGGTAAAAGCCATACTGCAAGTGCAAATTCCAAACTAATTCCAAACCTCAGGAATTAAGTTGTTGGAATTCTAAACTACTATAAAAAGTCTGATGTTATACTGATAGGATTTTAGACTATAAGAAGAAGTCTAAAATTACGGAGACTAAATACTAGATTATATGAAAAAATGTAGAATGACACCATTGTGACTCCAAACTTAGGAAAAAAGTTTGCAATAACACTGCCATGATTTCAGCTTTAACAATATGTGGGAAATTACGTTAGCCAATTCCTTCAGGCTATAATAAAATGTTAGGAACTAAGGTTCTAAATTAACTTGGTCTAATTCCAACTTACAAGAAAAAGGAGGCAATTACACCAACAGCATTTTAGACTACAAGAAGGTGATCAAAATTACTTTGGTGTTATACTAAGGCTCAAGACGTTATCAAAATTGTTTTGGGTAAAAGGCTTACTGCAAGCGAAAATTGCAAACTAATTCCAAACTTCAGAAATTAAGTTGTTGGAATTCCAAACTACTGTAAAAAGTCTGATGTTACACTGATAGGATTTTAGACTACAAGAAGAAATCTAAAATTACGGAGACTAAATACTGGATTATATGAAAAAATGTAGAATGACACCATTGTGACTTCAAGCTTAGGAAAAAAATTTACAATAACACTGCCATGATTTCAGCTTTAACAATATGTGGGAAATTACGTTAGCCAATTTCTTCAGGCTATAATAAAATGTTAGGAACTAAGGTTCTAAATTAAGTTAGTCGAATTCCAAATTACAAGAAAGAGGAGGCAATTACACCAACAGCATTTTAGACTACAAGAAGGTGATCAAAATTACTTTGGTGTTATACTAAGGCTTCAGACTTTATCAAAATTGTTTTGGGTAAAAGCCATACTGCAAGCGAAAATTGCAAACTAATTCCAAACTTTAGAAATTAAATTTTTGGAATTCCAAACTACTATAAAAAGTCTGAGGTTATACTGATAGGATTTTAGACTACAAGAAGAAGCCTAATATTAGAAAGACTAGATACTAGACTATATGAAAAAATGTAGAATGACACCATTGTGACTCCAAACTTAGAAAAAAATTTGTAATAACACTGCCATTATTTCAGTTTTAACAATATGTCGGAAATTACATCAGCCAATTCCTTCAGGCTATAATAAAATGTTAGGAACTAAGGTTCTAAATTAAGTTGGTCGAATTCCAAATTACAAGAAAAAGGAGGCAATTACACCAACAGCATTTTAGACTACAAGAAGGTGATCGAAAATACTTTGGTGTTATACTAAGACGTCAGACTTTATCAAAATTGTTTTGGGTAAAAGGCTTACTGCAAGCGAAAATTACAAACTAATTCCAAACTTCAGAAATTAAGTTGTTGGAATTCCAAACTACTATAAAATGTCTAATGTTATACAGATAGGATTTTAGACTACAAGAAGAAGTCTAAAATTACGGAGACTAAATACTAGATTATATGAAAAAATGTAGAATGACACCATTGTGACTCCAAATTTAGAAAAAAGGTTGCAATAACACTGCCATGATTTCAGCTTTAACAATATGTGGGAAATTACGTTAGCCAATTCTTTCAGGGTATAATAAAATGTTAGGAACTAAGATTCTAAATTAAGTATTTTGGACTAAAAGAAGGTAATCAAAATTACTTTGTTGTTATACTAAGGCTTCAGACTTTATCAAAATTGTACTGGATAAAAGCCATACTGCAAGTGCAAATTCCAAACTAATTCTAAACCTCAGGAATTAAGTTGTTGGAATTCCAAACTACTATAAAAAGTCAATTAAGACAACAAGACTGAAGAAGAGTGACACAGAAGCGTGACAGTCTTGTTCCTTCACGCTTCTTAAAGGTTCAACATGGTTTTTGATTATTTTTCAACAAGCGTTTATAATAACGTGCTGTTTTGCTGTCGCCATTTTAATCAATTTGCTGTACACGTTTAACACCGCATTATATCGCCTTCAGCTTTATACATGCATTCATTTGCCTTTTTGATGATCTTCACTTTACGATATTAGTCTTCTATTGACATTGTCACTGAGGATGGGGCTAGCCCCGAAACTAGTTTGACTTCAAATTTATTAAATATAGCAAGTTAAGAAGTTTTTTTGTTTTATTTTTAAATAATCCACTTGCAACATGAATCTACACTCTAATTGAAATTATAAAGTCAAGAAATTGTCGCGCAGAACTTCACTTCTCTAATATGTACTTTAATTACTAAAATATGTTGAAATTGGCTTAAGTGATTATAATAAAATTTTATTAAGTGAAAAATTCAAATAAAGTTCATGATAACTTACTTTAATAATTCCCCAGCTTTAGTTGAATTATAAAAATCGCATTCGTGTAAAGGAGCGGTGAATGGAACATCAGGATGATATTGCCCAGCCTTTATACATATTCCTTTATAAATTTGAAACTCCATTATAGTTGCTAAAAAATAACTTTCGAACGAAAAAAATTATCAAATTTATTTATTTCAAATTATTCTTAATCATTACGATATAAATTGGGTATCAGCGGCCACGTGGTATTTACTTCCTGGATCGAAATCCTTGGTATTTCTACCGACTGGTGGCTTAATTTTTTGGAAACTTTTCCTAGAATTAAACTTATCAAACCTCAAAACCGCACCAAATTTTTTTTTAATTAATTAAAATTTTTTTAATTAGCTTTTCTTATCAAAATTTTTATTACCTATAATTCCACCAAGCATCGTTCCATTTATCTTCGCTAATTGTTCCACTAAAAACATCCCATCGCCATTTATCCAAAATTAAGGCGTAAGGTAACATTGTAACATAATTTACAGCTAGAGAAATTAAATTATTAATGGTCGTTTCATTAGTTATCTTATAATCTTCATTTAATAATCCTATTTTCATTAAATGTTGCGGTGTCATCACCGATAACACGATAACATCACCGATTGCTTCGTGAAAAGCTGGATTTGGGGCATCTTTGAACGTAACCGGTTGATTTTTGTATTGCAAATAATACTGTATGTGCCCCAATTCGTGATGGATTAAAAAGAAATCGTGTTGATTAACTTGCGCACATACGCTGATTCGAAAATCATCGTTTCGGCAAAATTCCCAAGCCATGGGGTGACAAATCATTTTGGTTTTTGATGATTTTTCAATTACACCTTTTGGTCCAAAAGCCATTGACATATCTTCTAAATTTAGAGAGGTGAAGAATTCGTTTGCCGTTTTAAACATGTTTAAAACGGTGTAATTTTGGTTTTTAAGGGATGTTGTTAGATCGATTAAGGGCGAATCGGGAAATGGGAGGATTTTTGGAAGGATGTTTATCCAAGTTTGGGCGTGAATGTTACCTACACGAAAATGTTATTTTTTATTGATTTAAAATGAGATAAGATTTTACCAGTTAAATGAGCCGGAATTAATCCATCCGAAACATCTATTTTATCGCCATAAAATTTTTTGAGTTTGTTTAAAACGTAAAAATGTAATTCATCGTACAAAGGCTTAATTTCGTTCCAAAGATTATCAACGATTACATCTAAATGAGGTATTTCGAATTCGCTTCGCCAATACTCTCCAAAGTCGGAATAATCTTAAAAATAACACAATAATAAATTATTTTTAACAATAAATTCGTTTTTGATTAATTACTATCCGATTTCGCAATTTTATTCTTTAATTCAACGTATCTTTTAAACATTGGTCTTATTTTGAATCCAGTTTGTCGTCGATATTGCGCCCAATAATATGAAAGTTCTTTTAAATCTTTGGATTTAGCAAAAATTTCTTCAATGTCTAAAATTGCAAAAAAAATTATTAAAAGGCGAAAAATTAAAATAAATAATTACCTGGTTCTAAAGGTAACCCAGAAAGTTTTAAATCACAAATCTTTCTTTTATATGGACAAACTGTAGCTTTGCTGTAAATGGCTGTCATTTCGTTTATAATATCTGTTAACTGAAACATAAAATTAGAATTATACAAATACTAAAGATAAAACAATGCATAATTTTCAGCTGCAATTATTGGCCAAACTATTCCCCCTTGGCGATTTAAGACCATTAGGTTTATGGAGCAGACTTAGGTCCAAGAGTGGACGTAAAAACAAGCTGTAGAGAGAGATAACGTATCTAGATACAATCGAGAGTTGACTCTAACAAGCTCTTTGAGAGATAGAGACGTGGTACTAATCTTGGAGAATTTAGAACCATCCAAAGAAAAACACAACATTGCTTTCCTCGAGAACAAGACGAAGAAAAGTTCTCTTGATGCATTAAAACCAAGTAAGGTTGATCCTGCTAGAAGTTGTTATTAGAAATATATAATCTGCCATCTGGGCGACGTTCTAAGAGTTGATGTAAACATAAGCTAATAAGGTATCTAGATACTATCGAGAGTAGACTCTAACAAGCTCTTTGAGAGATAGAGACGTGGTACTAATCTTGGAGAATTCAGAACCATTCAGAAAAAACCCCAACATTGCTTTCCTCGAGAACAGGACGAAGAAAAGTTCTCTTGATGCATTAAGACCAAGTAAGGTTGATCCTGCTAGAAGTTGTTATTAGAAATATATAATCTGCCATCTGGGCGACGTTCTAAGAGTTGATGTAAAAATAAGCTGATAAGGTATCTAGATACTATCGAGAGTAGACTCTAACAAGCTCTTCGAGAGATAGAGACGTGGTACTAATCTTGGAGAATTCAGAACCATCCAGAGAAAAACACGACATTGCTTTCCTTGAGAACAAGACGAAGAAATGGTCTTTTAATGGATTAAGACCAAGTAAGGTTGATTCTGCTAGAAGTTGTTATCAGACCTTTGATACTGCGTATCTGCCATCTGGGCGTTGTTTGAAGAGTGGAAGTAAAAACAAGCTGTAGAGAGAATTAACGTATCTAGATACTACCGAGAGGGCTCTGGCTTAGAAAGGCGGTTCTTATACCGACAACCTTTTGGAGAGTCTTCATCTATTAATGGAGGTGCATTTTTCAGATTCCGGAAGTTACGTGTACTTACAACAGGACACTAACCATGAACTTACTGCAGATGATTGGATTTCAGCCGAAGAGATCTGCAGGGAGGAAAAAATACGGTGGGCCCTCAACAGTTTCTCACCGTTCAAAATACTAGGATCAGACGGTATTATACCAGCCCTTTCACAATGGGACTTGGAGGATTTAGTACCTCACTTAGTGGAAATCTTCCAGGTATGCCTGGCGCTGCGCTGTATACCCAGTCGGTGGCGTGAGCTCACAATGAACTTCATACCAAAACCGGGTAAGCTTGATTATTTCACACCGAAATCGTTTAAACCAATCAGTCTCTCCTCCTTTCTTTTGAAAATTCTGGAAAGACTGTGTGATCGCAACATTAGAGATTTCTGCCTTCCAACTAAACCAATAAATCCTAATCAACACGCTTACACTCAGGGCAAATCCACACTAACGGCACTTCATTCAGTGACCAGCTTTGTTGGTGGAGCGCTGGACCTAAAGGAGTCCGCCCTGAGTGTTTTCATAGATATAGAGGGAGCTTTTGATAAAACAACTTTCTCTGATATTAACGATACCTAGTTAGAGCATAATGTTCCACCGACTCTTTGTGGTTGGATTGAGAACACTCTTAAACATAGATAGTTAAGCTTAGGGCTGGCGATGTCAGTCTTCAAGGAGGAGTTACTCGAGGCTGTCCACAAGGGGGTGTACTATCCCCACTTTTGTAGAACCTCACCCTGGATAGCCTCTTGAAACGCCTCACTGAAGCCAACTTCAGTTTAATTCGTTTGAATGTGATTTTAATGTCTCCTATATACATACTTCCATTGGTAGCAATGATAGATTTAACACGACCTTAAAATTTCCGACATTTCCATGATTTTCGTCAGTACAATTCAATTGTGAACACAAAAGATTTGATCTTTGCCAATATGAGCTGCGCAGTCACTCGCAATCTCGATCCGTTGCTTACTGAGGATTCCCATCATCCTGCTTTAGCGGTTGTTCTGGATTATGCTCCCCAGTTTTCTATGTTTAAGCATCGTGGCCTACCCACCTATAACTTTAAGCGTGCAGACTATCCTTTGTTGTATCAGATGTTGGGTGAGGTGAATTGGTCGGACCTGGATGATATTGGAGTGGTAGATGATGCATGCCGGCTTCTTTATAACAAGCTACACGATGTTTTTGATTTAGCAGTGCCTAAAACTGTGAGAGATTCTACGAATCGTCGTTGGCCTGCTTGGTTCTGCTTAGTTATTCGCTAGAATGAGAATATGCGCGCATTTCTGATCCCAGTACCTTCTGGGCCTATGTTCGGTCACGTAACGGCGGTACTCGCATTCCAGGCCTTATGACGAATGGAAACCTGCAGTTCAGTTCGGGTCGAAGTATTGTGGATACTTTTGCTGATTATTTTGAGTCCGTTTATATTCAATCTGATCCTGTTTTTGTGGGGTCTGATTTCCCCGATCATAGTCTTTGTTTGTCAGTGGAAAACTTCAGCTTGGAGGAGGTTGAGGATGCGTTGAAGCGTACAAAGAATACTCTTACTGCTGAAGTTGATGGGATACCGAGCATTTTACTGAAGGACTGTGCTTCAATTCTAGCCCCATTGCTTTCGATTTTCAATCTGGTCCTGTCTACTTCTACCTTTTCGTCGTTATGGAAAGAGTCATACGTCTATTCAATTTGGAAGAAGGGCAACCCTGCTGAGATTGTGAATTACAGACCTATATCGCTGCTGTGTGATTTTTCGAAGTATTTTGAAGGCGTTCTTTTCAAGCACATCTCATATCATTTAAACAAGTACATAAGCCCAGTCCAACACGGATTTGTTTGTGGTCGACCCACTGTCACCAATCTGACATGCTTCGCCCAATTTGTTGCTGATGTAATCGACGCTAGAGGGCAGGTAGATGCTGTGTATCTCGACTTTCGGAAGGCGTTGGATCATCTGGATCATTTTATCTTATTAAAAAAGCAAAGTAAGTTTGAATTAAGTGCCCCTCTGTTGTCGTTAATGAAATCTTATTTGTTAGGTCGGCAACAGTTTGATATTATGGCGGCTTCACTTCCAGAGGATTTTCTCCAACTTCAAGGATTCCCCAGGGATCCAACCTCGGTCCATTGCTGTTCCTGACTTAAAGAAATAAAGTCCTATTATTATTATAACTTTACTACAGTTGGTTACGCAGATGATTTAACCATTCTCGTTAAAGGCAAGTACACAAACGTGCTTTTTGATAGGATGCAAGTAGCTTTCAAATTGATAGAGAGTTGGTGTGACGAACAAAGACTCTCTGTGAATCCTAAGAAGACAGAGTTGATTCTTTTCACTCGGATGAGGAAGTTTGGCAAGTCCAGAATGCCATCCTTTGCTAATACTCCATTGATGTTGTCAAAACAAGTCAAATATCTGGGCATCACACTTGACAATAAAATGACATGGAGAGCCCACCTAGATAATAGAGTAAAAAAAGCGTACGTTGCATTCGGTCAATGCCGGAGGGCTATAGGTAAGATATGGGGTTTGTCACCCAAAAATGCCCTCTGGATTTACACGCATTTACACACAAGACCTTACAGTCTACATCCACTGCTGCACTTAATAAAGTACAGAAACTTGCGTGTTTGTATATTACAGGTGCGCTTCGGACTACCCCCACTGCAGCCATGGAAAACATGAACCTAACGCCACTTCATTTGTTCATCCAAGAGGTGGCACTGGTGACCATGATTCGACTGAGAGCAGCAGGAATTCTAATGGATGGGAGATATAGTAAAAATGCCATTCTGTGGAATGAAATGGTGCACTACTCACCAATTCTGGAATGTATAACGGACTTCACACCCCTATAACACATATTTACGAAGAAATATCTCACCCACCCAAGTTCCACAGAAGTAAAGGTAAAAAACTGCCTTAAAATCTACACTGATGGTTCAAGTAGACGAGAAGCAGCTGGAATCTTCTCGTAGGTCTCTAGGTAAAAGTACCACCGTCATACAGGCGGAGTTAATACAGGCGCCATACAACTTAGCGCTGACGTTATTGTCAGATCCAACCTAAGACTTTCACAATTTACACTGGCAGTAGACAAGCTATTTTAGCCCTGAGTAGAATAACAATTACCTCAGGACTTGTTATGGGTTGTCATCTGACATTGGAGAAGGCCGCAGTGCATAACTGTGTTATACTTCAATGGACAAAACGACACTCGACTTGTTCAGGTAACAAGCACGCTGATAGGCTTGCCAAAAGGGCTGCCAAGCGAGCGCCAAGATCGCCTGAACCGATAATCGCTCCGTCCTTATCAACTCAAATTGAGATAATTAAAGATTTTACCCACAAAAAGTTTATGAACTGGTGGGATAGGGTTAAGGGCTGCTATCTGTCTAAGGAAGTATTACGTTATCTCTCAGCAGAGACAGCCTTGTCTTTCGTAAGGTTTGGTAGAAACGCTGTACGAACTCCCGTTAGCGAGTCCCGTTACGAACTGTAACGGGACTCGCCACGGGTCACTGTCAGATAAACAAGCATCTTTATAACCGTAAGCTTGCTGTTAGTTTTTGATTGAGACGGTTTGACACGTCTTGTGTAACTGCCTCACTCTACAAGACCTCAGAATGAGAGACTTCGGAATGGAATAGCCGAGCACAGATGGCATCAGGAACACACCTCTGCGCTGTATCCTACCCTTCGGAAATTCTTTAGGCTGGTTGATGTAACTGGAGAGAGCGCAAGAGGATGTACAAGGGGCCCGTTGGGGCCTAGATGCTGTATGCGGAAGCATACCCTCCCCTTTCCTACACACATACTACCGAGAGTAGACTCTAACAAGCTCTTCTGGAGATAGAGACGTGGTACTAATCTTGGAGAATTCAGAACACACGACGTTGCCTTTCTTAAGAACAGAACGAAGAACAGATCTCTTAATGGTTTAAGACCAAGTAAGGTTGATCCTGCTAGAACTTGTTATCAGACCTTTGATACTGCGTATCTACCATCTGGGCGTTGTTCCAAGTGTGGAAGTAAAAACAAGCTGTAGAGAGAGACAACGTATGTAGATACTATCGAGAGTAGGCTCTAACAAGCTCTTCTGGAGATAGAGACGTGGTACTAATCTTGGAGAATTTACACACAACGTTGCTTTTCTTAAGAACAGAACGAAGAAAAGATCTCTTAATGGATTAAGACCAAGTAAGGTTGATCCTGCTAGAAGTTGTTATCAGACCTATGATAATGCGTATCTGCCATCTGGGCGATGTTCCAAGAGGGGATGTAAAAACAAGCTGGAGAGAGAGATAACGTATCTAGATACTATCGAGAGTAGACTTTAACAAGCTCTTCGGGAGATAGAGACGTGGCACTAATCTTGGAAATTCAGAACACTTGATAATCATGTATCTGCCATCCGTACCACATTGGCGAACTGTTATAAGCAGAGTTGTTTGCATATTTATAACAAATATAAAATATTTACTCAAATTATAAAATACTTATAAGAAAAGTCACTTACTTCTTCGTACTCGTCGTCTTCTAAAGCAGCATCTGCAAGTTTAGTAAGAACGTTTGCATGTCTTCTTGTAAATTCTTTTGTTAACTTTAATTTGTGAAGATCTTTAAAGTAATTGTCATAAAAAAATTTAGATGTTTTCGTAAAACTAGAACTTTGTTCATTCTATAAAACAATTTTAATTAGTTTAAGAAATAATTAATAATTAAAATCGATTTTACATAAACATCTTCTTTCGTTGAATTGTTTATATCTAAATTATACTCCCAATTGGCGACGTTATAATCGTAACACATCTGCGTTTGGTTTTTCTCGTACTCGCCCAATAAAAAGGTTTCGAAATCATCTTCCGAACGAAATGTGGCGGAAATAAATGTTAATAAATTAATTAATATTAAAAAATGAAAATTTTTGTTCATTTTTATCGAATTGTTATGGATATAATTATCATTAAAAAAAGTTATACAACCTTAAAAAAAATGTAGGTAGAAAATCAATTGTTCTTAAAAATCATGATTAAACTGTAAAAATGTTTAAACAAAATAAATCTGTGAGTACACTTTTTTTTGTTATAATTTTAACAATTTTTTTCGATGTAACAAATAACGCCGAACACAAATTTTCTACCGATGAAGAATTCTTAAATTTCCTTTCAACCGAATATGAAAAGAACCAAACTGAAGAATGCAAGCTTTTAAATTTTGCTGGATATAATTATAACGTTCATTTAACTGATGAAAACGAAGAACTTTTAGTAAAAAAAAAAA